TCTGCTGCCCTCCGGTACAGCTGACAGGCTCAGGCACTCCCTGCAGCCAGAGACCTGGACAGCTAAAATTTTAGCTAAAATTTAGCTAAAATTTCAGGTTATTCTTCTACCTGCAACATCCTGTATTTTTGATCTGAAAAACATTTTTGGGGAGAGCACAGCAATCAGCGGTCTTTTGCAGAGAGGCCTTAAAGAATAAGAAAACAAGATCTAACTGTCAACAGCAATACTTTAGGCTGGATATTAGAAAAACAATTTCTAGCTGCTTGGGAACTAAACCAACACAGGAACAAATTAAGTAATGAAACTGCAATAATTTGTTTGGGATACTAGGGATAGGCTACACAAACATTCTCCATCGTGGAAAGTGCAAGCATACTTAACCTTGCCTCACTGAAGGCAGTAACCAGATAGGTCACCTCCCAATTCTATGATACAATACAATACTCAACTTTCTAAACAGACATTAGTGAAGAGTGTCATCTAGTGGTCATAATTAAGAAAAAATTCTGGTGATAATCTCAAATGCAAGGAAAAGTAGCAATAAGTTTTTAACAATACTTTCTAATAACTAGCCATTCATTACTTGCATTTAGTGATTTTAAAATAAGAAAATATACATTAGAATAATTACAGATTTAAATGTGATACTAAAATGTTAATATTATAGGACCCAGTAATCAACGAAACTAACTTTCCTTTTCTTTATATAGTTTTATAATTTTAGAGTATTTCCGTATGCAAAAAGTACAGAAAAGGGAAGAACTAGGAACTACCTAGGGAGGAACAACCCCAGGCAACAGTACACGCTGGAGGCTGACTGGCTGGAAAGCAGTTTTGAGGAAATGACCTGGGGGTCCTGGTGGACAGCAAGTTGACTATGAGCCAGCAACGTGACCTTGTGGCAAAGGCGGCCAGTGGTATCCTGGGCTGCATCAGGAGGAGTGCTGCCACCGGGTCAAGGAAGGTGATCTTTCCCTTTCTCCTCAGCACTCGTGAGGCCACCTCTGGAGTGCTGAGTCCTGTTCTGGGCTCCCCAGTAAGACAGTGACATGGAGCTACTGGAGATAGAGTCCAGAGAAGGGCCAGTAAGATCATGAAGGGACTGGAGCATCTTGCATGAGGAAAGGATGAGTTGGGACTGTGCAGCCTGGAAAAGAGAAGGCTCGGGGGGATGTCATCAAGGTGTACAAATATCTGAAGGGAGGGTGTAAAGAGAATAGAGCCAGGCTCTTTCCAGTGGTGCCCAGTGGAAAGATCCAGTGGTTCCTCCTGAATGTAAGGAAACACGTTTTCACTGTGACGGTGACTGCGCATGGCAACAGGTTGCCCAGAGAGGTAGTGGAGTCTGCATCCTCGGAGATACTCAAAAGATGTCTGGACACGGTCCTGAGCAACCGGTTCCAGGTGAGCCTGCTTCAGCAGGGGGGCTGGAAAAGATGACCTCCAGAAGACCCTTCCAACTACAACCCTCTGTGATTCTGTGAAAATGCTGTCTTTGTTGAGGACAAATATAAGGGGAAAACTGACCAAATGCACAAACAGGAAAACGTCTTTTCTCTACAACAAATTGTGATATTGTATGTAAACAAAAACTATTTTCCCATCAGAAGTCTGATTTTTACATCTCAACTATAAGCAATAATGCTTCTTGCATTTAGCTGTCTCCTACGTATTTTGAAAAAATTGGTAAACCACTTTGCATTGTTTTTCTTTAACTAAAGGATTACAAAGAACAGCAATTTTCCTTCCACCTCCTTCCTTCCTCCGCTTTCTTGGAGCTATTTCCTCTGTCATCCATATGAAGAGTGTAACATTATTATGAGCAAACTGGAGAAGAAAGAAGGCAAGATGGTCAAACAACAAAGTTACGCTCTGGTTGAATGGATAAAGGTCAGTATCTTCCCCTTCTCCTGTGCAGGTCCATCTGTAGGTGGGGATGTAAATTTTTGGGGAGGGGAGAGTAAGTAGCATGTATGTATACGTACGCTAGCAACACCAGCATAATCAAACTGTGAGGACTTGTGTTGCTGAGCAGAGCAAATTCCTGATAACAAGCAGAGTGGCAGGGCTTTAGCTATGGGGACCAGGAGCTAGCTGGGGGGAAGGAGTGTCTGCCTGAGGTACGAGATCTGGAGGGCAGTGTTAAGAGAGCTGGGGCTGGCACAGCCGGAGCAGTGCAAATGTTTTGCAGAGTGTACAGAAGAGATTTCTGTGGTCAGGGAAAGCTAGGTATATATGTTCGGAGCAGGCAAGAAGACAGGGTTATATGTACGTGTGTGAATGGGGAAGCAGGAACAGGACACACTTCAAACACTGGAGGACCACTGAAAAGGAATGCCATAATCTGGTAGTACCAATCATAGTGAGAAACTCTGTCCTAACAAGCAGTTCTGCAAATGGATGATTTGATCCCATATATTCCTTAACGGGCGCCAATTCACCTTTTTACTTGTCTTAACAAGTTTGACACTTGCTTTAATTTTTTTTTTTTTTTTTTTTTTTTTTTTTTACAACCAACTATATTTAAGGGCAAACTCAGACTGCCTTTTTAAAGGTGACAGCTCATATATAGCTTGTTTGTGGGAGAAATATTTAGAGCTGGCTAAAACCAAATGTACTACTTCTCAGTAAGACTGAATGAAATCAAAGAGCAGCTGGATTATCTACTTTCCAGATATTTCTACCCCTTATTGTAAACAGAAATGGAATAATCCACTTTATACACAAAGCATGCATGGCCACACTTAACTGTTTAACTTGGATAACAAAGCAACTATACGATACAGATAGGATATCATGTACACAGGCTTTCAGAATGCCTTTTTCAGCGCCTTGTAAGGAGCAGAACTTACCAGCAGATGTAAAATATTTTTAGGACTTTTAAAATTGTAACAACTGCATACAAATATAATTCCCATATATCTATTAAAAATGTATCTAATTAAAGTATCATTGGAACTTTTTTGTTTCGGGTATGGTAGAAGAACAAAAAAGTAAACAGTGATGAAGAACGAATCCAAACAATTACTGATCTGTTGACTTACCTTTAATGACAGGGAGCCAGCAAGAAAGAAGTGGTCCACATCAATGACAGAGGCGAGGAAGCCAGCCAGAGTGACCTCAGTGAAGTCACTTTTCTTCCTGAGTCCAATCACTATTGCCCAGGACCACATTCCTAGTATACCATGCACTGCATTATCAGAGAAGGCTCGGAGCCAGTCATTTTGCTGAATGAAAGAAAACTGCAGAAGTCTGTCTGCTACAAAGCAGAATATCCCCAAACCTAGACTAGAAATAACTGAAGCTGTGCTGAAAGTTTGGAGAAGAGCATGGGCCTTTTCAGTCTCAGATGCCATAGCAAAAACCATGTCACAGCACACAAAATGTCATCAGGATATACACTGTGCATTGTCCTTTGTATCATCAGTTGTTCTGTAAATGTCAGAGAACAAAAAGAAAACTATTAAAGAAAAAAATCCATTAGCACAAAGCATTTGTTATCACAGCTACAACTTAGAATAAAAAAAACCAATTTCAACGCTTGCATTTAATATTCCTAGGGAATCTTTGATTTCAGTTAATTTGTTGACTTGAACACTACAGCTCTGAATTAAAACACTTGTCCTGTTTTAATTAGAACAAGCACGTTTGTAACATGGAAAGCTCTAACTCCACTTTCTGAAATCTTAAGTTTTACGGAGTAATTTGAAACATGTCTATGGTAATACATTGAATATGTTTCAAGATTCCTCCTGGTCTTAAAGACATGATATTCATCAAATTAAATCCTTTACACTGTGACAACAAAAAAAAGATTCAATTTGGAGGATTCTCACTGACACTCAAAAATCCCAAATGTCTCTATGCAACAACTGTTAAAACTGAGTTTCTAATCTATAATCCAAAACACTATTTTCATTTACATACTTTGTAAACATACATGTTATCACCCTGGTACCCCTCTCTGAGCAACTCCTTGTTTAGTTTGGAGACTGACACGTAGAATAAGCATTAAGAAAACCAGAACCACTAAAACATCTTCACTATTTGTCATAAACACAAAGACAACAACCATTCAGTCAATCAGAAGTAACCAAAACTAACTCCTTACAGAGCAAAACTACATATGCTTTTCCTCAGTATGTGCACCAGCAGCAAACTCTGTTACTTTTAAGACTTGTCTATTGCCTGCCACATTACCTTCATAACAGCTCTTTTTGCAGAAAAAAAGAAAATTAACTAATCCCAGTCATTTTACTTTTCAAAAGTTGACCGTTGTAATTTGAAAATAAAGGCACTGTTATTAGCATTAATAATCACTTAAAAGTCCTTAAAAACTATTTATGTTATGTAATTGTTATGAAACCCTCTTGTACAAGGTGATTTCTTGGGAATAATTATTGTCCTTAAATAACTGCTTGACACCTCAAAAAAAAAAAAAATCCAAAAATAATTCAAGATCTTAAAGACACCCCCACCCTACTCCCAAGAAGCAATTATAGGACACCCAAATTACAAAGAGGTACTCATTTCCATCATAACATTAAAAAGAACACTTTTGAAACAAAAATCCTCATATAAATGATGTATTCCCTAGCTTTGTTTCGTTAAACACACTGAAAAGCGGTCTTTGAAGGACAGTATCAATTCTAACTGTCCCAACTGTTATGCTCTTCTGTCTTTTTGGGGAACCATGGAGATAGACCACAGTTTCAAAGCCTACACCCTATCGAAAAATGGATTCTTCCCAAGAGGTTGCTATTTCTCTGTAATACATTAAATCTTGATAATCCTTCTTCTTACAGTTCTATCAGGTAAATTTTTATTCTAAATGGGCTTTTTATGAGTATATTAGACTTCCTTTAAAAACAAATACTTCTAATAATGTCGACACATAATAGTTTATTATTTTAAACACATTATTGATTATAAACCCCAGAAAATATAAAATGTTTCTTCTAGCTTATTTACATGCCTGTTTATTGTAGAATTATCCACAAGACATGACTACTGGCATTGACCTTTACAGAAAAAAAGCCCACTGAAGCATTTATTCGGAAAAGGTAAAAAAAAAAAAAGAGAAGAAAGTATGAATAATACATGGACTTTGCACACAGATGAAAAAAAGTGGGTCAAGTTTGGAGTCTGTTAACCATGACTGTGCCTCTTCTGAATGAACATGTAGACACAAAGTATCTCCTGAAACTCCGGAACTGCCATTTTCTGGTGTGTGACTTTACAATATACAATACATTTCTGAATAAATTGCATTTTAAGGAACAAACTATGATTTCCTCACAAACGTTTCTTCTATATAACCATCATGTCAGATTGGATTTTATTTAAAATTACCATAAAATCTGTGTAAGAATCCAATCTGGGAAGAGCTGATGTAGCAACGTACCTTTAAAAAGCACAACAGTATTCAGAATCAAACTTACCCTAGGACTAGGACATATTTTTTCCATTGCAGTTGCCTTATTCCAGTAGGAAACATGGTCTATGCCTCAGTGTTGAGCCTCCGTGCTTTCTGAATGCAGTCTGCCCAGTCCAATGCAGGAAAGACCAAACACCATTTGTTCTATCCTAAATAAATTGAACCAGGCAGCAGTAAGCACCGATACTACACAAAGCTCTTCAAACTCTCTACAAAACACATATGAAAACTGAACAATAGTAAAAAATACAGAAAGAAGCAACATCTTTTCAATGAATTCCTGAACGGAGCTAGAAGCAACTTCAGCTAGGGCTTAGAAGCTCTGTTAAAGAAAGCAGGAAAAAAAGACCATAAAACAAGAGAAGGGCACCAATAAAGATGGAACAAGACAATAATTAAAAGATAATAAAACCCAACGTCGTAAAGTCAGAAAAGGGCACTTCCAGTTTTAAGCTTCTGTTTTAAGTAATTGCATTTCAGAATATATAGACATCTATTTTAACAGATGTGTGCCTGAAAGAACTGTGTGTCTGAGAGATTCCTACCTAATGAACATTTAAAAGTCACATTCGGGGATCTCTTTTTAATTTCATTCCATCAATTAGTGACCTTGGAATAGATAAACAGAGACCTATAAATTCAAATAGCAACAGAGGTTTGTGTCAGTTCTGTGGTAGGCTTACACTGCTTTGCTATGGGTATTATTAACATGTGCATAAAGTATAGAGGAAAAATATCACTACAGACTTAAAAAAAATCCAAAATGAGTATGATTTGAGAATTACGTATTTAACATGTGAAAGTATAGAGGAAAAATATCACTACAGACTTAAAAAAAAATCCAAAATGAGTATGATTTGAGAATTACGTATTATGAGTGAAATAAAGGTAGCAATGCCAACTGGAAAACAAGGACAGTATGTGAATGGGTGTCTCTGAGCCAGAATGAGGAACAGAAAGCAAAAATATGGCTTCAGATTACCCTTAGTCAAGAGCTATGTCTGTGGCATAACAGCTCTTTTTGAACAGTCTGTCTCTGCCATCTTTTATAGACAAAAATGACTGCTCTGTATGTAAAAACCAAGTCACATTCCCAGGTACAACGGCATAAGTATAAACATTCTGCAGATCAAGACTGAAATCAGACTAGAAAAAGCAAAACTCTGTTCAACCAAAATAATCTCTGAAATTACAATTTTTAATATAAAACTAGAAACTGTATTTGTTTTGTCTGAAAAATAATGATTTTCAGACCGTTTACAAAATATCACAATAAAGTATCATAGGTTTTTCTATCCTATAAATCTCAGAAAGCATAGTTGTGGAACTTACATTCTTGTTAAAACAGAACAGTGGGAAACGTATTACAGAAGAATGCTTAGAAACCTATGGGTGGTCAGTACAGTTAACATATTGAAGGAAAGATTTAGGTTGGGTTTACATAAAACACATGCACACAGCTGATAGAGTAACACTGCTTAGAGTTATGATTTCTCATGACATTTTTATATCAGATAAAGCATTATGCATATTCTCCTCCTATACCCAGAAAATGCAATTTTGCTGATATACTTAATTTCATTTAAGGAAATTATAAAAATCATTTTAACAAACGCACAGTTAACATTGTAAGTTACTGACCCAAGAAGACCAAAGCTGTAAATATGCATTTGGGGAAACAGTTGACACTAAGAGGCCTTTCAACTCACGGTGTAAGAGCAAAACAAAAATCCAATGGCTAAAATTATCATTTAGAAATATTGCTCTCCAAAATTTTTGCCCTAATTTTGCAAGAAGTTATCAGGTACATGAATACATACAGGAATTTAATGCATAAAAATAGCAGAATTATGCACTTTATGCAAGAAGTCAAAAGATCGCAGTAGTCGGTTACAATTCTATAGTCTCCTAAAAAAACATTATTTGAGATTGGATGTTAATTTATATGAAAAGCTCCATAAAGTACAATTACCATTTAAGACACGAGCTCAAACCTTTAATGTATTATCTCATGGAAAAGCAGATCCAAGCCTAAAACAATCTGTGAAGAACTGATAATGCAAATATTTTTGGGTCAGATAATTATAATGCATTATTGGGGCTGGAGGGTGGAAGGAGGCTGAAGAGGAAAGAAGCAAAAGCATGCAAGAAATCTGTAGGATTTTACCAAGATACTGAGGAACAAACTGAATTAGACCCACAAAGAAATTAAGAAAACCACCCACCCAAACAAAACCCCCATAAAATCAGCATTTAATTAAATTGTTTATTTCAGGGACCATAAATTAAAGTGTTTGAAAAGAGATACCAAGACACCAAAATGTAGACCTTCTCCTTAATGAGTACTTTGGAACTGAGATGCACCTAAAAGAAAGAGTTGAAAGAATTATCCTAAAAGTATTTAGTAACTAGAAACAGACCACAGTACTATCCAGTGGAAGAAAAAATCATTTGTCATCCTAGACAAAAAAAAAGGGGGAAGAAAAAAGCATGAGCAGTTTATGTATTACCATCATTAACTACAACAGCATTCGGATCATAAACAGCTAATCCAATTTAAGATTAAAATACAATCAATATGTGTAACTAAAGAGAGAGACGAAGGAAGAACAGGCATGCGGCAGACAGACATGTAAAACTACAGAGATCAGCAACAATTTTTATGTCTTGAGGAAAGGGTATGCTTTGTCGCAACACCCAGCACCAAACCCCTTATCAGCCATCTCCTCAGTCATTAAGAAACAAAAATGTACTGTCATCCTTACCGCAAAAACAGAGCCAAGAGTGTTAGGGAGCCTCACATGTAAGTGACATGCTTGGCTTTAGGTAAAGCACCACACCACCGTTTATGTTAAGACCTGACACGACATATGGGTACCTATATTAATAAAACAGGAATTTGACGCTGGCTCCTGTCAGACTGCTACCACAGTCTTCCCCCGCTTTAGCTTCTTCTCAGTAAAACCCATTGCATTGTAAACGCCCCAGGGTCCCCTCACCAACGGACCCCCGAAACCCCAACACCGCGGCAGGCAGCCCGGAGCCA